ATGGAAATTAACTGTGCCGTTTCGATTCACGATATAAATGCGTTAACACAATACAGTAATATTATTGCGCTCGTACACGGTCTCAGAATCACTGTAAGTCCCGTTTTCATTTCACGTAGTCTAACAGAACTTTTATCGTTAAAACTCTCAATTGATAATGCAATTGGGCCACCGCCTACAGAATTAACCCTTCACTACGCAAACAGTACCACAATCGCAATTCCCCGGAAGCTTCTACAATGAAAACACCATCGCGTTCACCGTAGAATCACTCACGAAAATCCCATACACTTACAGAACTTTTCGTAACAAATGGAAACAAGAGAATCAACAATTTATCACGTCGATTCCTCTCTTAACCTTCCCACGCCCAATTAAACACTAATCGTTGCACGCGTAAACCAAAATTACGTGCACAAATACGGACTTCAACCCTTAACAGTCTGAAAGTATTTCAAGTTCATTTATCGCCGAAAAGTACCGTAACATTGATAACAAGCAAATAAAAATAAAAAACTGAGTTCTTCAGTTCTCACTGAAAATCGTCGTCGAATTCAGTTTTCAGAATTAAAATATTAAATTTGATTCGGACTGAGTACCTATTCAAAACATATTACATAACATGATACTCGAGTGTTTCTATGTACAGTGATACAAGTTGCTCTCACTGAAAATCCCCGTCCGCGCGATCCAGTGAAAATTAGCCGGCGCGCGATGCGTTAGCTCATTCGTCTGAATTATTATTCCCCCGATGGAATCGGACACTCGTGGCTCCGCCGTGCTGCGGATCGCGGCGCACTTGAATTACACAGTTCTCCAGGTTCGAATCTCGGAAGCATCGGACTCGATCCGATCCCCGATAATCACCTGTCCGAAGTCGCCATCGCGCAACCCCTAAAACCGGCGGAGCCGATCGGAACGTCCGGTCAGCTGGGAAAGGTCGCCGCGCAATTTTGCGCGCGAATCTACTTAAACTTTAAATTGAACCCCGCGCTCGATTACCCATCGAATGAATAACGATCGGGATTGATTTCACCCCTGATACCGGGGCCGGGGCGTAACTTTTAAATAATAGGCCGAACCGGGTCGATTACACGACCCCGGCGGCCGCCACCCCCCGCGCGCGTTTCCATTTTTCGACGTCGGATAATTTCAAGCTTCTCGGCGTCCGTAATATTCCCCGGTGTTAATTCGAACAATAACCCGCCCCCGCCCCGCCGTGGGCGGCGGAGGGAAGACGAAGCATCGGCGTAAATTCCGGCGCGCGTGCAAAGCGGAAAACTGTAGCGCATTATTCCCGGAGCGGCATTATACGACGCGTGAAAAACGCCCGATGCAGATCCGGCCGCGCCGATGACGCGTGCACGTACGGGGTGTCCCGGTTGTAACCCGCGTCGACCGATTTTCGGAACTCTCGAAAGGGGGTGGATGTTTTTTGGATTTTTCCGAAGGACGCGAGTAACGAGAATATTTTAAGCTTGATGAGTCGGTTTCTTTGAGCGCGCAGTGAAAAAGGATTTCTTGGGAGTTTCGAGAAGCGTGCC